TGATGGGATGGCGTGGGGATCGATCCTTGCCAAGTGGACAGTGTTGTATTTGGGTGATGGGATGGGGTGGGTGATCCTTGCCTAGTGGACAGTGTTGTAATGGGGTGATGGGATGGCGGGGGGATTGATCCTTGCCAAGAGTTAATATCTTGTACTCATCCATACAAGCAGGAAATTATTTATATAGACTGAAGAATTTACTTAAGCCAAAGAAGAAATATGTTTACAATTACGTCCTTTCAAAATATTGGGTCAAGAGGTGTATGTAAATGAAGGATCTATGATGGTTTTTGTAATTGGGTGATGGGATGGGGTGGGGTTTGGTCCTTGCCAATTTGACAGTGTTGTTATTGGGTGATGGGATGGGGTATGGATTGATCCTTGCCAAGTGGTCAGTGTTGTAATTGGGTGATGGGATGGCGTGGGGATTGATCCTTGCAATGGGGACAGTGCTGTAATTGGGTGATGGGATGAGGTAGGGATTGATCCTTGCCAAGTGGACAGTGTTGTAATTGGGTGATGGGAGGGGATGGGGATTGATCCTTGCCAAGGGGACAGTGGTGTAATTGGGGGATGGGATGGGGGGGGGATTGATCCTTGCCAAGGGGACACTGTTGTAATTGGGTGATGGGATGGGGTGGGTATTGATCTTTGCCAAGTGGACAGTGTTGTAATTGGGGGATGAGATGGGGTGGGGATTGATCCTTGCCGAGTGGACAGTGTTGTAATTGGGTGATGAGATGGGGCGGGGATTGATCCTTGCCAAGGGGACACTGTTGTAATTGGGTGATGGGATGGGGTGGGGATTAATCCTTGCCAAGGGGACAGTGCTGTAATTGGGTGATGGGATGAGGTAGGGATTGATCCTTGCCAAGTGGCCAGTGTTGTAATTGGGTGATGGGATGGGGTATGGATTGATCCTTGCCAAGTGGGCAGTGTTGTAATTGGGTGATGGGATGGGGTAGTGATTAATCCTTGCCAAGGGGACAGTGTTGTAATTGGGAGATGGGATGGGGTGGGGATTGATCCTTGGGGGGCGGACAGTGTTGTAATTGGGTGATGGAATGGGGTAACCAGATGAACGTCTCGGGAAAAGGGGATGGCGTGGGGATTGACCCTTGCAATGGGGACAGTGCTGTAATTGGGTGATGGGATGGGTTGGGGATTGATCCTTGCCGAGTGGACAGTGTTGTAATTGGGTGATGAGATGGGGCGGGGATTGATCCTTGCCAAGGGGACACTGTTGTAATTGGGTGATGGGATGGGCTGGGGATTGATCCTTGCCAAGGGGACAGTGTTGTAATTGGGAGATGGGATGGGGTGGGGATTGATCCCTGCAATGGGGACAGTGCTGTAATTGGGTGATGGGATGGGGTATGGATTGATCCTTGCCAAGTGGGCAGTGTTGTAATTGGGTGATGGGATGGCGGGGGGATTGATCCTTGCAATGGGGACAGTGCTGTCATTGGGTGATGGGATGAGGTAGGGATTGATCCTTGCCAAGTGGCCAGTGTTGTAATTGGGTGATGGGATGGCGGGGGGATCGATCCTTGCCAAGCGGACAGTGTTGTAATTGGGTGATGGGATGGGGTTGGGATTGATCATTGCCAAGTGGACAGTGCTGTAATTGGGTGATGGGATGGGTTGGGGATTGATCCTTGCCAAGTGGACAGTGTTGTAATTGGGTGATGGGGTGGGGATTGATCCTTGCCAAGCGGACAGTGTTGTAATTGGGTGATGGAATGGGTTGGGGATTGATCATTGCCAAGTGGACAGTGCTGTAATTGGGTGATGGGATGGGGTGGGGATTGATCCTTGCCAAGTGGACAGTGTTGTAATTGGGTGATGGGATGGGGTGGGGATTGATCCTTGCCAAGTGGACAGTGTTATAACTGGGTGATGGGATGGGGTGGGGATTGATCCTTGCCAAGTGGACAGTGTTATAACTGGGCGATGGGATGGGGTGGAGATTGATCCTTGCCAAGTGTACAGTGTTGTAATTGGGGGATGGGATGGGGTGGAGATTGATCCTTGCCAAGTGTACAGTGTTGTAATTGGGCGATGGGATGGGGTGGAGATCGATCCTTGCCAAGTGGACCGTGTTGTAATTGGGTAATGGGATGGGGTGGGGATTGATCCGTGCCAAGTGGACAGTGTTGAAATTGGGTGATGGGAGGGGTTGGGGCTTGATGCTTGCCAAGAGGACAGTGTTGTAATTGGGTGATGGGATGGGGTGGAGATTGATCCTTGCCAAACTGACAGTGTTGTAATTGGGTGATGGGATGGGGTGGGGATTGATCCTTGCTAAGTGGACAGTGCTGCAATTGGGTGATGGGATGGGGTAGGGATTGATCCTTGCTAAGTGGACAGTGTTGTAATTGGGTGATGGGATGGGGTAGGGATTGATCCTTGCCAAGGGGACAGTGTTGTAATTGGGTGATGGAATGGGGTAACCAGATGAACATCTCGGGAAAAGGACCATACAAGGGTCAGCATAGTTGCCCAGGTATTTACAATTTAATGAAAAGTGTTAATTCCCAGAATTTTCAAGTGAAATGGTGTTTAGATTTTAAAATCCATTTCACACAAACTGTCTGTATACTTTAAGCTTGATATAGGTGGACTATGATTACTTTTCTTCATAAGTGATATACACAAATAAGATAAGAAACACCTTTATATATTTCAAACTGAAGTGAAATGTTTTTAAAAGCAACAGTAGATACCCAAAAAAGTGTCTGTCCATAAGCATTATTTAGTGCTTGAAGCCTTCAGCCTTGATGGCAATGTTGAGATATTAAGGGTGGTTTTAATATCATTCAATAGCTCAACCTGACATTATTACACAAATCATCAGAACTTTTAAACACACAATTTAAACCCTTAGATAAGGAAAATAGAATGAAGCTTAAGTGTTTGATCAAACTAGATATGTTACAGGTATGTTCAAACTAGGTATGTTACAGGTATGTTCAAATTAGATATGTTACAGGTATGTTCAAACTAGATATGTTACAGGTATGTTCAAACTAGATTTGTTACAGGTATGTTCGTCAGCATAAAAATGTCTTGCTTTGAGGAAACACAACCACAAAGAAAAACACCGGGAAGAAAACATCACTCCAAATGAATGGTACCACGGAAAATAGCGAAAAAGCAAAGAAACTTAAACAATATAGAAATTTCAACAACCAAGAAAACGACAAACGACAACACAAACATCAAAATCACAGAAGCATTAATTGTGTGTTTCTAGTTTTCTTCTAGTGACTTTACTTGTTGGCAGCCTCTATTGAAGATCTGTTAACGTCAAGATTGTTTTTCTAAATAACCTCTATAAGTAATAACTATATTTCCATATACCTACCAACATATTTTTTATGGAATGAAACCAGAAATACACAATTATTTCTTTTGTGAGCCTGAGAAAAATAGACTTACCGGATAAAACATTACAAATCAACAAAACCATGAAAAACAACAAATAATCCTGACAATAAAACAGTAACAAGGAAGATGATACAAACTTCAACAACACAACTAGGCTTAGCTTCGACATAAAGTTGTTCAAAGTCTCTCACATATCAGGTTTTATCAATCTTTATTGATGCTGACTTAAATGAAAGAAATCAAACATCCTCATCTTGCAATCACTCGGGAACCATTACAGGGAACCATTACAGGGAACCATTACAAAACCTTAGGGTATCATTTTACTTGTAGTGTTCAACAAGTTATCAATCAAAATTGTAAAAAAAATCACTTTATAATATTACCAGAGTGATTGAATGTTATAATATCAAATTCTGATTATACACAGTTCTTTACCAGGGGAACTGATAGTACACTTATAAATATACAAGAAACAAATGAAGTTAAAGAGGCACTTCAGTATGAACCTGGCACTTGTGTGGGAGATTTCCCAGTGTTTTAACTGACAAGCAAGTGTTTCTATAGAATACACCCTGTATCTTGTCTATATCTACCCAATACTATTTATAACCCTCAAGGTAACTCTACTCAAGTCAAGGTCATCTTACTGATGTGAAGGTCACATACAAATATTATTACTGTGTTTACACACATTATTTTGACTGCGTTGGCATCACCTATTTCAAATATCACAACATGTCTACTGTAATCTTTATCAAAAAACACCTTTAGTATATAACATACCTTTTTGGTAGCTTTCAAACATTTTCATGATTATCACAAAATATCTTCTGCAATCTTTATCAAAAAGAAGCTTACACATAATATACTTTTTGGGTAGTTATCAAACGTTTTCAAGAAGCAAACAAAAAAGCATTGGCAAAAGAGCAAAAAAATTTACCTGAAGGGCAACTCTAATTTCTGATAATCAAAACGTGGCACAGGCTATCATGCAGAATTACAGACGAAAGTGAAAAATACTGATTTCAACTTCAGAATCTAGGGACGTTTATATCAAAATCCTGTTATCTTACTCATTGGACATTTATCAAAATATTCTAGATATCAGTACCAAGGAACTTGGAGGAAAGATCTGAAAGAATAGTGAGATAAGGTGATGAATAGACTGATGATCATGAACAGACACACTTCACAAACTGACAACTGATTTAAAACATACTTCAACCTGAACCTGAACACTTAAACTCAAACTTCTTCCTGAAACAGCACGTACCATCATATATAAAAGACACTATCATACTTGCGAACCTTTTGAATTTCCATTTGGGGAGATATATTCCCTGTGCTCAAAATAAGAAACATACAAAAAAATAAAATGCTTGTATATAAATAACACTGTAAAATGGCAGATTTTCCGTTGTCCTTTCAAATGAAATCATTAGATCTTAAAATGTATAAGTTAATGTGGAATTTAAGGGTCCAAAGTCAGAAGCCTCCCTCCAAAATAGGAAGAGCTGACAAGTATCCACTACTATAGTCATTTAATGGAAATACATGTTATAGTTGATGTGTACTATTAAATCAGGTTTGGTTTAAATGAAGTAAATCTTAAATTGGTATGTCAAAGTTATACAGGTCATGAAATAAATTTTAGAGATAAGCAATTAGGAATCAATTTTAACAAATCAAAATACTACAGTAAGTTCCAAAGGCTTTCATTGGTCTTTTCATTGGGCAACATAAGAATAAGGAAACAGTTTCATTTTAATTGTTTGTGTCCAATCTCATATCAAGCGATAACAAGATATACCTGCAAATTTAATTTGGTAACTTCAGGTGAAATTGTAATTAAAATATATGCTCGGGGGAAACGGTTTTAATGATTTTGGTTAGAGGTTGAAATAGAGATCAGTGATCCTCCATAGAATAAGACCATATTATCACGAGGTGTAATTGTGCATCCAATAATAGCTCCAGGTCATGAGACAGCTTAGATAGAAATAAAGGTAACGTTAATGACTGAAATAATGAAAGTTGTAATTCTCAATTATCATACTTCATATTAACCAAGCTAATCTGTAACCAATTTTAACTCAAGTGAAATCACAAACCCAGTAAACAGATTATCTTAAGTTTGACAGTCAAATTAGCGAAATCTATTTGTAGTGCTGAATTGTCCCAGAATCAGACATCTCCCAATGCTGAATTGTTTCACTTTTTTTTTTTTCTTTTTTTCAAAATGCTTGAAAATGTTCTTAGGGAATCATATTAAGTCATTTTTATCATTTCCACTCATTATCTCTTATCGTTTTCTATATTTCAAACCTCTAAGTTGAAGGTATAAAATGTTGATATTTTGCGAAGAAAATTTATGAATAATTTATTATTTTAACTTTTTTGTTTTGGAATACTGTATAATTCCCAGATTTGGATATATATCATATATTTATCAAGTAATACTGAAATACTTGCTTAAAGTAGTCATTTCAGCTACTTTGAGCTGAACCATATTACTTTACATAAGGTGTTATGAAGTACAGTAGTTGTGAACAACAGTTTGGTGACCAGGCTTGTATTATTGTTTTTAGTCAGTTTTATGTGATGATATTTCTTTTCTGCATAGAACCATGATCACAATGGCATCATGCTATTTCATTTCAAAGAACTGAACTGTATGGAAATCATGTTGCTATGGTACAAGGCAAATAGTTGCTAGGCAACCAACAACCAATTACATGAACATAGCACACTCACCTTCTTTTACATTGACAATTGGATATCAAGTTTTCATCAATTTGGAATAACTTCATCATTTAAAAACTAAAAAAAGTATCTATTTCAACTTGTTCATATATATTTGAGCTATGTACATTGATTTCCATTTGTAGTTTGAGGACATGAGCTGATGTTGACACTATTCCTCCTGCCCAGACTGGGTGGTCGCAGTTTTCTGTCTTTTATATGCCAAAACATACTCAGACTTCGTATGGAAAAGTTCAAAACAGGGTTCTATGCATAAAGCCACTTGACACTGCTTGCACTGGAAAGTGGTCTCGCGTCCCATACACTTAGGTACTGGTTCATGTGGATGAGAGGACTTGAAGAGTTCCAACTCACCAGGCCCACATACAACACACCGTCGTTTCCCATGGCTTCTCTTGTCAGTTGGTGGCAGGTGAGACATAAAATGTCTGGCAGTCAAACGCTGCAATATCTCGGCTGAGGTCCGCTTTCTGCCTCTGGGAGCAGCACCAGAAAGCTCAGAGACTTCCATCAGCTGACTGACTAGCTCCCTCCTGAATATCCTTTGGTGCACTGGGTGTCGAGTCCTACTCTTGTACAATATGTACGAGTTCAGGACAGCAAGACCAATCATATGGAAAAAAACTTTTTTCCACCATTTCAATGTCCGTCGGTCAAAGCTCCCATTTGCAACCATTTGATCACATCGATCCACCGCTCCCATATACCTGTTATAACTTAGTACACAGTCTGGTTTGACGATATGGGAACCATCTTGGTCAAGCCGGCCAGTGTCTACTTTCACACCTGGATGGACATAGAAATGTATCGAAGCCTTACATGATTTTTTCTTAACACTATTTTTCAAAGAAAACATCTAGAGATATCCTGAGCTGGATATGCTTTCACAGAAACATTTCATAGATTGTAATATAATAAATCAGTAGATTAAATATGTAATTAGTACTCATTCGGTCACATTCAATAATGAAAAGTAGCTGTTAATGTTTTAGTCACGTTCGACAATGAAAAGTAGCTGTTAATGTTTAGTCACGTTCGACAATGAAAAGTAGCTGTTAATGTTCATCTTATATGCTTAGCTAGGATAATTAACTAAATTCAGCAAACACTACATTAATATCAAATAAAGGAATTTTACTGTTTTTAGAATTTGCTTTTTGCAAAATATTTGCAACAGAACCATAATGACAACATTCCAGAATTTAAGTGTCTGTTTATGTTTAAAATCAATGAAAGATTTTGTCTTGTGCAAATATGTTACGTATATATATTCGTGTTCACTCTCAGTTCTGAACTGGACAAATATATATCTATATTATTATTTCTCAAGATCATCTGGTTTAAGATATCTGATATTGATATATATATATAATCATCCATTAAATACATTCATTAACTAAATACTAAGTATATTTCTTGAGGATATTAGACAATAATCAGAAACTTTTTATCACAGAATGTTGTGGTACCTTCATGTATAGTGGTAAGTAAAATGACATCTTTTTTGTCTGCATACTTCACAGCAACAAGGGTGGAGTTGTGGACAACAAATATTTCCCCCTTTGTTAGGCGTTGACTCTTCAATTTTTGTGGGATTCCTCGTCTGTTTGACCTGACTGTGCCACATGCTACTGTTGCTTGAAGGTATAACTCATAAAACAGTTGAGGGCTGCTGAAGTAATTGTCCATATAAAGATGGTATCCTTTGTTCAAGTATGGAGAAACAAGACGCAACACCAAGTTATATGTAGCCCCAAACTGACTGGGTGGCTGCTGCTGACCATCACGGCCTGTATACAGCTCCATTCTACTACAATATCCATTTGCAGAGTCGCAAAGCATATACATTTTAAGGCCATATTTGCAAGGTTTGTCAGGACTGTAAACACGAAAATGCAGATTTCCCCTCCATGGAATCATCCCTTCATCAATGGCAATGTTCTTACCAGGAGTATAAACTCTCTGAAAATTTGATAAAATGTCCTTGTAGGGATCCCCGAGCTTCTGTAAAGGGGAATAACCTGGTTGTCCCCTTAGTACTGCAATGTTGTTATCAGACAAGTGCAGAAAGCTCATCAGTGCAAGAAATCTGTCTCTAGACATAACGGTATTGAAAAATGGTGTACTGATTACAACATTTGTAGACCAGTAATCTTGGATATCCAGTTGTCTCACAATACCCATTGCTATGGTTATTCCAAGGAATGATTTCATTTCTGGAACGGATGTATTTGTCCAGTTTCCAAGTCTAGAAAAAGGTGGCAAGTTTTGATGAGTCTGCAAGTAATTTGTAGCATAGTTGTTGGTTTCATCTACAACTTTACTTACAATTGTATCCGAAACAATACTCTCAAAATACTCGAGATAACTTAGAGTGTTTTCTTCGGGTACAGGCAATACATTCTCATTTATGCCAGCGCGACTGACGAAAGTGAAAGTAGACGGCCGTCTACCACCTTCTTGCCAACTTTCCTCGTCAAAAATGTGCCTTACATCCGTTTCGTCCTCTACATCTTGTTCATCAAATCCGTCAAACTCATCACTGTCCTCGTCCAAAAATATCTCCTCAAATATAGCGCGGAACTCTGGTAAAACATTCTGTAAATCGTCAGAGATTTGCCGCTCCGCCATCTTGTTTACATTGGCGACGAGAGCAGACACAAATAGCACTCGATAATTTTGAATAAGTAGAACGCTTTTATGTGATCGAGACTTAACTTGCTTACAAAATCAGTTAATATAATAATAACAATTCATGTTTCAATCATTTATTCAGTAAAATCGTATCCCGTCTTTCCATAAACAGTCATAGTATGAGGAGACCCAAACAAGATCGAGTGCGAACACCACAAATTGTGACGTAATCATTCTCTGTGTGCAAGATCTCGATAACAAAACGGTCATGAAATATACTATAAATGTTATATACTACTGACGTTCTATATCGAAACAATAGTTAAATACCTTATAAATATAAAGATGACGATGTCAATGCTACGGAACCTCTGACAGCACCGCTAAGACCAAATATATAGCTAATAGGTTCAGAGCACATGTTAGCCATTTTGGCGGAAACATTTTGCTATGCGTTTGTATTGTGCGCATGTTTCCGGTGACGTAACACGGCTAAAAATATCGCATATTCTGGAAAAAAGCGCAGTTGACAGGGATTTACCTTTCGATACAGAGACGGCAGGGATAACTGTATCAAAGTTTTTATGAAAAACGAATGCAACGATATATAGCTTCCTATTGAATACCTATTTAAGTCATGGGATTGTGTATTTATTGATATTTTTTTCATTATCGCCGGGAAATACCTAGCGCTTATCCAGACAGCCAAAAGGCTGTTTCAGCAGGACCCCAGTAAACAGCCAAAAGGCTGTCGTAGCACTACAAGGGTTAATTCCTGTATAAAGACACACTACAATAGCTGTCACTAACAACAATTTTTCGAGAATGACGAAGTATTTTTCGAAGTTACAGAAGAATTGAGCTGTATAGTCTCTCATGTAGCATTTGACAGATGGGAAGTGTCAGCCATTGAATGTTTAATACATTTTTTTTCGTTTCGGACTAAACGGGGATACTGTAACAATCAAAGCAGATCAACTGTTTTAACGTGATCGTACAGTAAGCAAATTGATGGATGGCAACTGTCTTTGTAAAGCCGAGCATTCTAAATAGCTTGAGTTATAATAAATAAGTCAAAACCCGAGATTTCTCAATTGATGAAAGCCAGGAGAAACAGTTATTGATCTGCTGACGATAAAAACCTTAGTAGATAATCCATAATTTCTGACGAGGGACAGGGAGTTATAAGCATCATCAAAGACCAGTCATGCAGCTTACCTAGTGAAACAGGTAACTGACATGCCATAAACACACATTAACCTCCAAACTACGGGTAATGAATTAATTATGATCGCTTACCTCTGATGATGACATACAGGACCCCATCAAACACATTCCTCAGGAACTGTAAACACTCAATGAAATCCAATAGGGAATAATTCTCACCTGTCCTTTTATATATCCTACTCCACTGACTGGTCACTTTTAACTGACCAGTGGCGACCGGACATTTAGATCGATACCAAAGATTGATGGTCAGTAGTATAGTTAGCTATCCATAATGAAACAACGTCAAAACATTAATTTTCCGACTCAGTGCAGGAGAGAACGCTGAAGCCCTATAACATGCTCCAGGTCATCGGAAGGCCTAAGTATTGACTGACAGAAAGCTGGAGGTGAAGCAGTACGGTAAATGATCTGTACATTCTATCAACATATATTCTGTTATTCATGATCCTATACTCAATGTTCCAAATGGTTTTCTCCAGAGCATTGGATTATGTAAATTACCCCCAAACTTTGATATTCTACTTATATAACATTTCCACTTAACAATGAATAATTCCATATACCCATTAAATAATGAATTGGTTGGAAACTATTTCTTTAAATTTTATCAAACCATTTTTTTCATCCTTGTATCATCACCTTAATTAACAAATATACAGCAATTATGCCAGCTAGTACTTGTTGTTAGTATGAATAGTAAGCTTGATATATATAAGAATATTTACCGTAACTGACATAAAGTATCAATACCCATTACCTTAGAATCTTACCTTGCTGCAGACAACAGGTGCCTGCAGACCACACAGCACACCCAGGTATATTAATTATCTTTACTAAATGAATGAAATCTATATCCCCCTAAAACCTAACTTCTCACCTGTCTGACACAAAAATCTTTACAAAAGATCCCTTTTTTTCCTCAATAAAATGTCAATAAGGAATAGTGCTGGTTTACATCTGTCACCAGATTGCAACAAATATCAACAAAAGATTGGTTTTCTGAATAAAACGTCAATGAATCGTTGAGTATTATATGTACCTGTGGAGTAATGCCCCTGGCACTACTAACGACCTGTCGAGGTCAAGACATACCTGTACAACTACCTGGGAGTGACATGACAACATTGTCTTACCCGATCAGGTAATAGCCAGCCTGGTGTGATAGTATCTCTGTGACCAGGATTTAATGAAATTTAAGTGATTGGGTCGAAAACAAATTATATTTGAGGTCGCACAAACTCTATATATATATCTACCGAACGTTGAGTCTCGAACGTTCAGAGAAAATTAGACTTAAGCTTCACGCGACGGTCTGTTAATCCAATTTAGATGAACAATACTTAGATATATGAAGGAATGTCGCCTTTATAATCTAGTATTGGCCATCTACACTGATAAAATCCATGTTACTGAGTGCTAGCTATATTCTTTGGCATTTTTAGATCAATAAAGAATTAAAAAGAATGACTTTTCGGGTATGATTATACTCGTTATGTACAGGTGAACAACAGGTAATAATATTGTTATGAAATGCTATCTAGTCTAGACTAATTGTATAAAAAAAAATGTCAATGAATGCCTCCTTATGCATAATTAATTGCAGGTTTTATAACTGTCTGCAATGGCCAATGATATACCGTTAATTAACTGTAATTATCAGATAAGTGGACACTTAGAATATATGTACATGCTTCATGTACGTTAATAGCGTTTTATACAATCACTGCACCAGTAAAAAATGCTTATTCCTATGGCACCAATGTTGATAAGTGTGAACAGAACCTATGTCTTAAATCTGGCTAGGAAAGATTCCGCATTTAATATCTTTCTATAGAGATTACCTGTTACCTGTCTAAGGAGACCACCTGAGTTACCTGTTCAGACAGACCATATTACCTGTCTAGAGATACCACATTACCTGTCCAGAGAGACCACTTGTTACCTGATTACCGGTGTCATTAACTGTCCACACAGACTATATAACCTGCCTAGAGATATCACATGTTACCTGTCCAGAGATACCAGGGATGGGGTATCCAGAGATACCACATGTTACTTGAATATAACATGTGTCCAGAGAAACCACTTGTTACCTGTTTACCAATGACATTAACTGTCCAGACAGACCATATTACCTGCCTAGAGATACCACATGTTACCTGTCCAGAGATACCACATGTTACTTGAATATAACATGTGTCCAGAGAAACCACTTGTTACCTGTTTACCAATGACATTAACTGTCCAGACAGACCATATTACCTGCCTAGAGATATTACATGTTACCTGTCCATAGTGACCGCATGTTACCTGTCTATAGAGACCATATGTTACCTGTCTATACAGACCACCTGTTACCTGTTTACCAATGACATTAACTGTCCAGACAGACCATATTACCTGCCTAGAGCTACCACATGTTACCTGTCCAGAGATACCACAGGTTACCTGTCCAGAGATACCACTTGTTACCTGTTTACCAATGAAATTTACTGTCCAGACAGACCATATTACTTGCCTAGAGATACCACATGTTACCTGTACAGAGATACCACTTGTTACCTGTTTACTAATGACATTTACTGTCCAGACAGACCATATTACCTGCCTAGCGATACCACATGTTACCTGTCCAGAGATACCACAGGTTACCTGTCCAGAGATACCACATGTTACCTGCCTAGAGATACCCCATGTTACCTGTCCAGAGATACCACATGTTATCTGTCCAGAGATCCCACATGTTACCTGTCCAGAGATACCACATGTTACCTGTCCAGAGATCCCACATGTTACCTGTCCAGAGATACCACAGGTTACCTGTCCAGAGATACCACTTGTTACCGGTTTACCAATGACATTAACTCTCCAGACAGACCATATTACCTGCCTAGCGATACCACATGTTACCTGTCCAGAGATCCCACTTGTTACCTGTTTACCAATGACATTTACTGTCCAGACAGACCATATTACCTGCCTAGAGCTAACACATGTTACCTGTCCAGAGATACCACAGGTTACCTGTCCAGAGATACCACTTGTTACCTGTTTACCAATGCCATTAACTGTCCAGACAGACCATATTACCTGCCTAGAGCTAACACATGTTACCTGTCCAGAGATACCACTTGTTACCGGTTTACCAATGACATTAACTCTCCAGACAGACCATATTACCTGCCTAGAGATACCACATGTTACCTGCCCAGAGATACCACATGTTATCTGTCCAGAGATACCTCATGTTACCTGCCTAGAGATACCACATGTTACCTGTCCAAAGATACCACTTGTTACCTGTTTACCAATGAAATTTACTGTCCAGACAGACCATATTACCTGCCTAGAGATATTACATGTTACTTGTCCATAGTGACCACATGTTACCTGTCTATAGAGACCATATGTTACCTGTCTATAGAGACCACCTGTTACCTGTTTACCAATGATATTAACTGTCCAGACAGACTTATGTTACCTGTCTAGGTATGCAAATGTATATTGCAACTTCTATATATCAGCACCTATTTTGATCTATACATAATGTTACATAACATGTATGTCCATGACCTTCAAAAATAGGGTCAAACAATCATGTCTTTCTAGTTACAACAGGAAAGGCTAATTGTGGTAAGGGTCTGGGCTATTGTGGTTTAAAGTTCAATCTTGTGGTCAGTAATGGACAAGACATTAACATATATACATAATGTACTTACATATATCGGACTCCCACTTGTTGACATGCTTAACTCATTCACCCCTGAAGACACATTTGAACTCTTCCTATTCAAAGGTTGGAATATAGCTCATTATGAAATTTCAGGGATGAATGAGTTAAGTCATGCTGATCAGGTTGACCATAGTAAGGATTATGACTCAAATTACCCTTGAGGTTCTAATCTTAGAAATTGGCATCTATTTAATGCTGGTGTGTGTCCCATTACATAACTCCACCATAATTAGTCCATCCCACTTATATAAGGTTATAGCTACATGCACTAGCTCTGGGGTCAACTTAAACACTCAAGTGCAATATCAGAATGGTCATTACTAGCAGGTTTCAAGTTCTGGCTTCAGAGATATCAGATCAGGAGAGTTTATCAGGACACAGGTCGTTACAGCCCATTGTCAGTTATCAAACAATTAACTATTTAGGATTACCAAGAAGTATGTCCCCTGTTAAGAATGATATGCCCCCTGCCAAGTAAAATTTCAGTTCAACAGAAATTAAACTACAATTTAAAATCAAACTAAAATATAATTCCTGCCTGGGAATATATCAAATTATTCTCAGAGATTTTAAATTCAATCATTTTCTTGTATTCTGCACAATTTGTTTTACAATAAGCTTCCCAGAGATATTTTTGAAATCCTTGGGGCAAACTTATTAGAGCAGCCTCTTTTGTTACATTAAATACAGTAAGTTTCTGGGGCCATTTTTCCTGGATTGGAAAAATTATCGTCCATTTTAACAAGGTTCCATATCAACAGGGTTCTGCTGTACTTGTTTTACTGGGGTTAATAATACATAAA